GGGGGGGGGGCTGGGGGCGAAAGCAGGGTGCCCTGGTGCTTGGGCTCTGCCCTGCTCAGCGTCTGCGAGTTAGCAGGGCTCCTGGGGCCCGGACGTCTGGGTTCTGCCCCAGCTCCTAGGGGGACCTAAAGGTCATCGATTTTTTCGGCCGAAAAAAATCGCTCACCGATTTTTTCGGCCACCCGCAGCATGAGCCCCCCGATGTGCAGGTCGCCAGTGACGCGCAGCGTGACATTGGCGGCCTCAGCCCCGTCCTTGGTCCCGGCCCCATCCACTGCCACACGCAGCTCCCACGATGCGTCAATGGCATCACCCGTCGCCGTCTTCAGCCCCGCCATGATGCCTGCAGCCACACCCGGACACCTGAGTTCCTTCTGCCTGGACGCCGGGGTCCCCTGGGTCCCACCTGCCCCGGACACCTGGGTCCAGCTTCACTGGATGCCACATCCCCTGGACACCTGGGTCCTGTCAACCCCAGCCCAGACACCTGGTGCCCCTCAGCCCCAGGCCCAGATGCCTGGGTCCCATCAGCCTGGACACTGTGGGGAGCGGAGAAGGGAACAGCTGGGAGCCCGGACACCTAGGTTCCTCCCACTAGAGCAGGGGCACCTGGGCTGGATGCCTGGGCTCTCCCCTAGGTGTGAAGGGTGGAGCATCGTGGGATGCAGGAATGGCTGGACCACAGCTCCAGGTCCAGGCTGGGAAAGAAGCCACGGCCTGGCTGGAGCAGCAGGGACTGGGAGCACTGGGATGAGGGAGGAAACCCAGGGCCGGAGGCCTGGCAGCCCGGATGCCTGGGTTCCCACCACCCCTCTATCCCAGGCCTGCTCCCCTCCTACCTCCCAGCCCAGAACCCAGGTGTCCGGGCTCCCAACCCCTCAGCCCCCCCCAACCTGCCAGAGCTGCAGAGAGCACCCGGGCGCCTGTTGGCCTCCTGCTCTGACAGCCATCACTTCCCTCCTGCTGCACGGATCGAACCCAGGTGTCTGGGGCCCCCTGGACCCGCCGCTCCTCAGTGCCCACGCGCCACCCTCCTCGGGGCTGTAGACCCCCAGGGACCCCTCCAGGCCTCCCCTCATTGCAGAGCCCCCCTCACCTTGCCGGGTGCAGCCGTCTCCCCGGTCAGTGCCAGGGGTCTGGGCGCTGCCTCGGTTTCCCCGTGGCTGCAGCGGGCGTCCGGGTGCAGCGCTATCAGGCAGGGTGTGGCCCCTCCCCCACCCTCGTCAGTCACTTCCTCCCAGGCCCCAGGAAAGGAAGTGGGGGCCTGGGGCCAGCCCCTGCCAGGAATCCGCCTGCGGCCTGCCACACTCGGTGCATTTGCACAGCGCCTGGCACGGCCCCACGGGGTCTGGACAGAGCCTGGCGGGGCCCAGTGACATCCAGGGGGGCTGTGCAGCACCCAGCATCCCCTCCGCTGCGCCTGGGGGCTCTGGGCACCGACCTGGCACCCCCGCCACCCTGACCCTGGCCTGGGGGGGCAGCGCAGCACCTGGTGCTCCTGATCTGGGCCTACAGGGTCTGTACGGCACCCAGCAGCCCCCAGTCTCAGCGCGGGGGTCTGCAGCCCCTGACACGACTGGATTGCTGCAGACAATCCCCGGGTTTGGGACAGGAAGTGAAACTAGGACTGCTTCCCCTCCCAGCACAAGGAAGGAAGGGGCTGTTTTGGGGCAAAAGGGGAGCTCCAACTGCCACAGGGTGGGGCAATAACCCAGGCCAATTGCCCTTCCTCCCCTACAAGCAGCCCTCCCTGTTTAGTTTGGACCCTAGGCCCCAGCAGGCAATGGGGAGCAGCTGGGAGGGGAGGCCTGAGCTTCCTCTGTCCCCAGGGGGAACCCAGGCATCCAGCTTCCTCCAAACCCTTCCCCTGCGGCCCTGGCATTCGCTTTAGGCCAGAAACCCAGGCCTTCATCTCCCAACCACCCCCCCCCCGGCCCCTTTCACTGGGTATACTGGCTCCTGCCCCCTTGGGGCGCAGGGTGGGCCCCCTCCCCCAGCCCTGCTTAGCCAGTGCCAGCCTATACTGGGAGGGGGCTGGGCTGGGCCTCACTGCTGCTGGGAAGCTGTGGGAGTGGGGGGCTGGGCCTGGGTGCTGTGTCACGGTCCTTTCCGGTCCATGCTGGCGCTGGATATTTTTAGCTGAGGGTGGGGGTGGGAGGAAAGGGGGCATGAGCACAATGTCACTTCCTCTTTCAGGTCAGACAGAGCCAGGGGGGGACCCCAGGTCGGGGTCACCCATGTGATGGGGCAGGGGGCACAGGGGAGGGCTAGCACACAGGCTCCACCCCAGGGTGGGGCATGTCATGGACCCACCCCCCAGCTGGCATGATGTCACTTCCTATCCCTGCTTGCTAGGCAGGGCCAGGGGCTTACACACACAAGGGGGTTTCAGGGTGTGTGGGGGAGGGCTAGCCCCCTAATGAGGCAGGAGTGGGGGGGAGGCAGGTCCACAGGCTCCACCCCCATGGACAGGCTTAGGTGGTAGACACCCCCCAGCATGATGTCACTTCCTCTGCCTGGTTAGAGTCAGGGGGTTGCCCCACAGCCCGCCCTGTAGAGGGGGCAGAGCAACCCCTCCACTGGGGGCAGGGAGGTACGAGTGGAGCCGAGGGCGACTGCTTTGCTCATTTATTGGAATGCAGCAGGACAAGGCAGTCGTGCAGCTGGAGACATCCCCCCTCCCCCTCACAGCAGAGGCTGTGGGTCCCCCCTCCTGTCCCCCTTCGGGGCCCCCCGGGGGGAGGGGGCACCTGGAGGGGACAGCAAGGCCCCAGTATGAGTCTCTGTGCCCCCAAGGGCGGAGGGGGCACACGATGGGGGCAGGCAGGCAGGCCTGTCATCACCGAATGGCAATCAAACCAACGTCCATCAGCTTCTGGATCTTCTGGGCAATGACCGGGTTCTTCAAGTGTCTGGGGGGAAGGAAGAACAGTCAAGATACGGCTGGCTCTGGGGGGGAGCTCAGGGCTGGGAGTAACAGGCTGTGGCTACTCCTAGGGGATGCCGGTGGCTGGGTGTAACAGCCGCAGCCAACTCTGGGGTGGGCTGTGTTGTGGGCCAAGTACAACCAATGCAGCCACTTCTGGGGAGAGGGTTGCTGAGTATAACAGAAATGCATTTGGGGTAGGGCTAGAGCCAGCTCAGTATACTGGTGATGCGGCCACCTCTCAGGCTGGGGGTACAGGGCCCCTTGAAATGTGCAGGGATGCAGTCAGCTCTGAGGCAGGGCATAAAGGGGTGGGTGTAACACAGCTGCAGCCAGGTCTGGAGTGGGCCATGCAGGGCTGGGGATACAGGGCCCCTGTACCCAGCGCTAGGATGTGGCTGGCTCTGTTATGCTTGGCCCCAATGCCACCTTTCCAGTGGTGCTGCTGTTTCTGGGCTTTTTGTGTTTGCTATCAGCTGAGTAGAAGAGACGCAGCAGGCTCTAGGGTTGACTGTGTCATGGGCTGAGCATAACACACACGGCTCGCAATATGAGGCCCCTTGCTGGGTGCTGTAATGCAGCTGGCTGAGGGGTGGGGGTGGGGAGATCAGGGCTAAATGTAGCTGAGGTGCTGTTGTCTCTGGGTTCCTCTGTTTGCTGGCAGCAGAGCGGAGCAGATGCAGCTGGCTCTGGGGTGGGATGTCACAGACTAGGGATATAGGACCCCTCGCCCTGATGCAGCCAGCTCTGGGATGGGGTACTGCAGGCTGAGTGTAACACTGGCAGCCAGCTCTGGGGGCATCGGGGCTGGGGATACAAGGCCATGGATGCGGCTGGCTCTAGGGTAGGCTGTGCATATACAGCTGCCTTCAGATGCACCAGCGCCACCTGGTGCCGAAGACAGGCGCCACCCCCTCCTGGAGATGGAGACACCCCCGTGCCTGTGCCCAGGAAAGGAAGCAGCAGTGACCCCCCCCACCCCTCCCTCACTTACTCGCTGAGGGCCTGGGGGTCCTTCTGCATCTGCTCCAGGATGAGGCGCATGGCCGGGTCGCTCATGATCTGCTGCACCTCAGGGTCGGCCATGGCGCGGCGCTTCACGTCCTCGGGCGTATCATTGCGGTTGTACTGGGCCAGCAGGCAGCGCTGGTAGCCGTCCACTGCCTCCTGCAACGGGAAGGGGAGGGCACAGGCCAGTGAGGGCAAGATGCCCTGGACCTATGGGGGAGCTCCATTCCCCTCCCAAAACTGGGATAGGACCCAGGTGTCCAGACTCCTAACCCCGCTGCTCAAATTGCCCCTCTTCCCTCTGAACTGGGAAAGCAATGAAATGAGGGGGCGCCAGGCACTGTACAGATCCCCCCCCCGGCCAAGATCAGGGTGCTGTCCAGACCCAACCCCCAGCCAAGATCAAGGGATGCTGGGTGCTGTCCAGACCTCCCCCGCCAGGACTGGATGCCCTGTGGGTCCCTGGCTAGAGCCCCAGCCCCCTCATGGCCCCCCCAGCCCCGACCTTGCAGTTGGAGTCCAGGTCCAGCGCCTTCTGGTAGACGTCCATGGCTTTGGTGTAGTCCTTCATGGCTTCCAAGGCTGCTGCTTTCCGGGTGTAGCCCTTGACTAAATCAAGTTGGGGGGGGAAGGGGGACCACAGCCCCTGAGTCAGCCTCATGGGGCCAGACGGACAGCTCCTCCCCACCCCCATGTAGCCCCTCAGGGGTGGGGGACACACAGACAAGCCCCCAGACAGATGCCCCACTGGCTACTTACTGAAGGTCGGTTCTAGCCGGATACATTCTTCACAGTCCTGGAGAGGGAAAAGGCAGAGTGGTAAGAAGCTCCTCAGAGCACACGGGCACTGAAGGGTTAAAGGCTCTGATTCTGGACGAAAGGACCCCCAACACCCCAGCCCCATGCCAGAACTGGTCACATCCCAGTGTCGGGTTGAGGCCCTGGGAAGGACAGGCTACGACTAGCTGTGGGGAGCACCAGGGGCTGCAGCTAGCTCTGTACCCCAAGACTTCCCTCAATGCTCCACCCCAGAGCCAGCCGCATCCCAGCACCAGACAAGGCGCCCTGTATCCCCATAGGGTGGAAATCTTTTCCGGGCTGGTGGGGCTGAGGGACCAGGCTAGGATAAACCACTGGACCCAACACCACAGCCCCCACTACCCACCTCCTGCTGGGAGAGAGCCCAGGCTCCTGGCTGCTCTGACCTCCCAGACTCCAAATCTGGAGAGGACCCAGGTGCCTGGGCCCCTGCTCTATCCCACCACGCTCCATTCTGAGCTGGGGGAGAGCCTAGGTGACCGGGCTCCCAGCCACACCACCTCCCTGAGTGGGAGGGAACCCAGGCATCCGGGCACGCACCTTGAGGGCGAGCTGGAACTCAAGCAGCTTGGTGTAGCAGGCTGCCCGGTTGCTGTAGAGTTTGGCATCGTGGGGGTTGCGCTTGATGGCTTCTGTGTAGTGCTTCATGGCCTGGGGGTAATCGCCTGGGGGGGCAGAGAGCACGTCATGGGGGCCCCCCCGAGACTACAGCCACACATGGCCCTGGGCTCCTGGCTTGGCCGGGCGGGAGGCCAGGACACCTGGGTCCCCCATGGCTGGTGCCAGCACCAAGGAAGCATCATTTTCCCTCACCTCAAAATGGCAGCTGCCTCTATACCCCCTCCCCCACACGGTGGCATGGCTCCACCTCCATAGGACCCAGCCCTGTCTCAATGGCAACTTAGCCCCGCCTCTGTGATAACACTTCATAACATAGCCCCACCCCATGACAGCCCCCCAACCCAGCTCTCCCCATCAAATCCAATAATTTATTTCCAGCCATGACATCCCCCCAAAATAAACTACAA